AATCGTAACTAAAACATAAAATCACTACATTAAAAAATGAGCTTGCTTCCTAAACAGGTTTTAGGTATTTCACTGTAAACAGCCTCCAACCAATTCTATGCATGTCATAAGAGGCAACTAAGGCAGGTTGGTGTGAGAGTGGCTATCTTACTTCACAGAAAACTCAACTGCAAATTCCACGCAATCATTAAAAATGTCCCAAGGGTCTTGGGTTGAAATCCATACCAAGTTAGATTTGTTTCAAAACTGACTTTGGCTCGCACGGCGACCTAGCTTACTTTTTTTATTTATTTCTCTAGTCAGTGTTTCCAGCCCTGTGTGCTTTCATAGCCAATGCATTTTAAATATCCTGTATTCACCTTTACCGAGGTCAGCCTCTGCCTCATTTCCTGGAAACTGGTCTGTAAAAAATAAAAATTTATGCCCGATGCACCGTCCGACATAAAAAGGCTCTTCAACTTTACTTACCTCATTAAGTGGTACATTGATTGTGTAGCCTTTGCCTGGACCCTCACCAATGAAGTCGTAATCAGACTCTCTTAGATACGGCCACTCTTCCCCATGTTCGTAACGATGAATTGAGACAAATAAAACTCTATAAAAGGAAAATGTACAATTGTAAATTTTAAAAATGCCAAGACAACCAGAAGTTTATTAACGAAGTATTATTTAGGACACAGAAAACATATTGTTGGTACTATGACAAAGTCACCTTAGTGCTGAATTCCTGTTTTGAGAAAGTAACATTTGAACATAAAGGTCTCTCTAAAAATACACTATGGCAAAAAATTGTGTAGTTGAGTAAAAAGTAATACTTCATTTTGACCTATCTGAAGAATAAATTCACATGTGCCAACATAGCCTGATGCTGAAAATGTTGCAGAAACTGCTGGATCACCAGTGAATACACTTGTGAACCGACTTAGGGATTCCAGCTCCAGATGTTTCCTCAGGGTTTACCCCTGAAGCACTTTCCCTAAGTAGGGTACTGCTACAAGGCAGTTGAGTTTTCAGATCAGAGATGACCTGCGGCTATCCTCCGAATAACGGGCACATATTATGGCTGCCAAAAACACACCCTAACAGGGCCTCAGTGACATGTCAACTGCGCACTTCCGGCGACTACCGCCACAGCCGCCCAGAGTATCTCCCACGCCGCTAAGCGCGGCGTGGATTGGGTTTAAGCCAGATAACTGGGATTCACAAGCAAATAAAATTAAGGAAGCTGCAGCAGATGTGGTAGCTGCTGCTCATGAGTCCCAAACATCTAGTTTAGCCCCGCTCCTCACCACGCGCAGCGGCGCGGGAGATACTCTAGGCGGTGGCGGTAGTCACTGGAAGTCCTCAGTTTAAGTTGCCAGAAGTCCGCAATTGACATGTGACTGAGGCCCTGTTACGGTGTGTTTTTGGCCAACAATAATATGTGCCTGTTATTCGGGGATTAGCCTGACCTTCTCCTAGATAAGCTGCCCTCCTGTGCTGATAAGTCTCATCTGTCTGAGATGTCTATCCAATTCCCCCCACATACAAAACAAAGTCCTTACTACATATATATTTCCATGCTACATAAATATTTCTATACATAACATTATTTACATTAGAATACTTCTTATATAGCACTTTTGTACTACACAACACTTTCTAAAACAGCAAACTCCATACCACAATTTTATCCCATATATATTCTTCTTCGTACTCTTAAAAACAAATCAAAACTAGAGGCAAAGCTTCCAAACAAACCTGGGATCATTATAAAATTTGAACTGACTTCCTTGGCCATGGTGGACATCCCAGTCAAACACAAGGATCCTGTTGCAGAAAGACAGATACCCTCATGTAAACAGCTATATATTCTGGACGACAGTATGAAAACAATAGATGTGAACAAATGTTCAAAGTGTGTGTCCTGAATACAAACAGTAGGTGTAAACATGCTTAGAGTTCAATTTACAAACAATTAGTTCGACACTGTTAACTTTTAATGAAGGCTTTGTTGTTTATTTTCATAGCAAACTATATTCTGCATAGCAAACTATACACTGTTAAGTTTAATCCTTTCAACCCCCTTTAAAAAAGCTGCAGATATGGCAGTGGCCAAATCATGTTAATGCCGCTTACCCAGCAGTTCTATTTCTACAGTGGCAGGTTTCTGAGATACCTACATAATGCCACTGGTTGGGTTTGCACCTGCATAGCAATTAGAAGGTTAGATATGAATATGTTCATTAAAAATAATGTCCACGGTGGTTTCCTAAGAAGACACACCATTGGCTCTTTAATAGCCATTTTAACATCATAGTTAGCACATAGTCTTAGTGTTCTAATTCTGATGAGACACAGGATTATCGTAAAAGTCACTTAATATATATTTTTAAGCTCTGTGGACTGTCTGGTAGTCTTAGTTTCAGCTTCATAGCAAACGGGTCACCCCATCTTTGCTCCGCTCCTGTGGCAAAGAAAAACACACAGAATTTATATCATAGTCCCTTGTGGAAAGATTGACAGACTGCTGTCTCAGCATATCTAGCATACACACGCATTAAAGCATACGGTAGCCATCCGAAGTGCTAACACAAACAGTCTGACATAAGAAATGCAGTTGATCATTGATGATAGCAGAAGTCACCAACAGATCAGCAGTTGCCCACGCGATAAATTTTAATCACATACGGGCACCATTAACATTGTGACAACAGGCATCGCGCCATTTTCTGAATCTACAATTCACAACCACGTTGATCACAATTGAAAAACATTCCAAAGGCATCCATTCAAAATGAAATCCGCAGCTCACAGTGTCACGCCATGCATTCAACTCAGAAGCTGGGCGACAAAACTATATCCAGTCTACAAATGGAGCAAAAATGCATCGGCCACCGTCAGGCAGAAGCAAAACATTTGCCTCGGCTCCAAACAGTGCCCCTGCCTAGCGTCCATTTTGACCGAAGAGTCCCTGTGTCTATGGAATGTATTCCATTTACTGCTTCACTCTTCATCATAATCATCATCAATTTCCATGTCTGGTATTGAGCGTTGTGGGGAGGAACAGACTGCAATCCATTGCTTGATCGGCAGCAATAGCTACTGTCATTCTGTGTTAATGTAGCTCTTTAATGTCATCAATCTATTTTCTTCTAGGGCGGCCTCTTAGTTTCACTTTAGATCTTTTCATGTGTAGCGCCTGCATTGGTAGCTGTTCTGGCTGAATTCTTACTAAATGACCAAACCATTTGATCTTCTGTTTCTTAACGAATCTGCTGCATGGTGTTGTTCCTACAGTCTGTCTGATAATATCATTCCTAACTTTGTTTTGGATGATTAAGTTGGAGGCTTTTCTCTGGCATCTCATTTCACAAGTGGTAATTTTACGCAGGTTAGCCTTTGATAATGTCCAAGTCTGGCACTGGTAGCACAGTGTTGGTATAAATATGCTGTTTACAATCTGTTTTTTGGCGCTCATACTTAAGTCTGGATGTCTTAATAACAGTGTCAGTTGGCATATAAGTGCACTGGCTCTTTGGCATCTTGTTTCTAATTTCTATTTCACAATCTATTCTTCCGTCCTCCGAGAATAAACTTACAAGATATTTAAATTCTTTAACTTGCTTCAGACAAGTACCATTCAACCCGATATGTGGCGGATTAGAAATTCTGGTGACCTGTATAATTTCAGTTTTAGTAGTATTTATTTTGATCTTATATCTTCTGCATCTTGAAACATAGCCTGTTTAAATGGTCTTGACGTCTACTACCCCTCACTGTAGAATAGGCACTGATTGTCTGCTAACAGTATCTCATTTATTGTGAGTGAATCTAAATCTTCAACTGGAAATTAACGTCCCTCATATTCTGGATTTTCTGGGTGGACTGGTTCAAAACCGGCTTTTTTGATATTCTATATACGTATATAGTAAATAAGAAAGGAGATAGCACACATTCCTGCCTCACCCCTCTGTTGGTTGTAAACATATCAGACATGCCTTCTCATGTTCTCATAATACCAATTTGGAAAAGGAAAGGTAATACGCTTTGGGAAGTGTGGTACATGTCTGCAATGTTATCTATCAACTGTCCTTGAATACCATAATCCTCCAGAATTGCCCATATTTTGTTTCTGTCTACTCTATCAAAAGCTTTTTCTTGATTTACAAACACAATATTCAGTTCATCAGCATATTCAATGAGTTTTTCTCACAAACTTGTCTTAGTGTAAATAATGCATCTGTGCAAGCTTTTCCTTTCCTGAAACCAAATTGTGATGATACTTAGGTGCGGCTCCGCTATAGGTCCAACTCTCTGTTCTAATAATTTTGAGTACATTGTTCCTACGAGGCTCAAAAGTGATATACTCTGTACGATGCATAGACTTTAGTATTACCTTTCCTTTTCCAAATTGGTATTATTAGATGCCAGTCAAGAGGAATTTCCCTTTCTTCCCATGATGTATTGCAAATTCTTGTTAGCCATTTGATGCCAGTTTGACCTCATGCTTAAATAGCTTTTGTATTATTCAATCTAAACCAGGTTCTTTGTTTTTAGGGCTCCTTTGTATAACAGGTTTTACTTTTGATTTTAAAAAGTTTGGTTCATGTTGTTCACTGTTTTCAGGCACAAAACTGATGTTGTCTACCTAATTTATTGATTACTCTCCCAATATAGTCTGTTTTTTTTTTTTTTTAAATAAAACATACACACAAAAAATAATTTAAAAAAACAAATTATAATGGGCGTATAGGGCTTTTTCACGAATGTTTGGATTTAGAACACTCGGCACAAGCATAGGGTGAAAGGGGTTAAAAAGTGAATGCATCGAAATTGCAACCTACCTGAGATTTCCGCAAATAAAAATCATGCACCCCGGTACATAATTCAACATATGAGACAGAATGCTGTTGGCAGACAAGATAAAGTTTACAATCAATTTTCTTTATAGGAAATACACCCATCCCCCCACCAGGGAGCGAAAAAAATGACCACCACCAAACACTATTTAAGTACGTCTAGCATCCTCTACACCATGGCGACTGTTTGCGCAGATAGCAGTTTGTTAGCCAGATTTTTTTTTTAAGTAGATATCTCTATAGTGTAAAAAAAAAAAAAAAGCTTTCTATAGGAAATTACATCAATGATAACTGTCATCTGGTCCAAAAAAAGGTTAAAAAGATATAATGTCAGCTATATAGTTGCAAACATAAAAGGTTAGACTTTTATGCCCCAATAAAATTCATGTCATACATTCATTCAGGTTCCTACCTAGAAAGCTTATAATGAACGCATGATAGTGAGTCACAGATTACTTTATTTACAACCCCCAACTGCCTGTGATGCTTAAACCCCCTGGGATTTTATAAAAAAACGATTAACAGACATAATGCTAGATGCATCAAACATAAAAGGTTAACAGACATTATGCTGTATGCAAGAAAATACATAAAGTTTAACTAATGTTTACAATGAAACAGACTCATCTCACTACCTGTTCAACTTGTGTTTGTCAAGTGCTACCTGAGCAGCTATTGCAACGTTGCTGAAGTAGCAGTATCCACAGAATTCTTCTGCCATGGCATGATGGCCAGGAGGCCGAATAATTGCCATTCCATTTCTGATCTAAAACCACAAGGTTAAACAGGGGTACTTTTTTTTTAAATTAAACATATTCAGAGGTGAATCCATTCTGCTCATACAGACAATATAATGGTCAACAATAACTCATTTCTTTTTCACATTATAACAGACACGTACCCAGCATTCAGAAATGAGGTGTATACATAACGTATAATGATGTATACATCATATTGAAACAGTTAAAAAAGATATTTTAAAGGCAAACACTATATTGAAACATTAAAAATTCTTCCTGAGATTTTGACATATCACCCTACTCTATCTGTTTCATTCATTCTGATGTATACACATGAAATCTTTTTGACTGTTTCAATATACATATATATTTATATACATCTGAATTATCTTTCTTTAATAGTGTCATTTTGATGTGTTAATCTGAAAAGTTTTTTAATAGTGCCATTCTAATGTATACATCTAAAAAAACAAACCATTTTTAATGTTTCAATATGGTGTTTACCTTTAAAATATCTTTTTTAACTGTTTCAATATGATGTATACATCAGAAATATCTTTTGAATAGTGTCATTCTCAGGTATACAACTGAAATATCTTTTTAATAGTGTCATTCTGATGTATACATCAGAAATATCTTTTTAATAGTATCATTCTGATGTATACATCTGGAAAAAACATTTTTATTGTTTCAATATGGCGTTTACATTTGAAACATCTTTTCTCAACTGTTTCAATCTGATGTACATAGCTGATATATTTTTTTAAAGTGTAACCATTTTTTTTTTAAAATGATAATTGCAAAAGTAGTTGACGATAGTGACTGAAATTGAGGTGTCAAATGTCAGACAACATATTCTTGGCCATGGGGTAATGAAGTGCAGTGGCAAGATCTTTCTTCACAACCTTTCCTATAAAGCTCATTCCAGCAATATTCTCTACATTATCTAGTATAAAGTTTATGAAACTAAACTAAATCCATAATTGTTCCACTGCTGGAGATACTCCTATAAAGAATTAAGCATTACCATTTATTCTGTCTCAACATTAAGAGGTTTCTGATGAACACACTTAAGATGTTTATTATGAATGGCTAAGATGGCCTTGTCAAAAGATAAGATTTTGTTAACTCAAAACTCTGAGAGCTGTTCAAACTGTACTGATTACATAAGTTATAGTACAGGCATCCTAAAGGAATTATAGGCATTTCCGAGTGAGTTCGCTTTTAGATGTCTGCAACAGAAATAAGCAGACATTTTTCTCCTTAAATGATCCATAATCCTTTAATTGCTGGTACCCTACTAGCGAATGTATTTAAGTAATGACTTACTTGAAACTTCGGTCATTATTTTATGAGGCAGGATCAATGGACAAATAAATGTTCAGTTGGAATCACTCAATTCTCAAGTGAGGACAGAATAAATTGTTCCCAGGTATCAAAAATAAAATTAAAAACTCAAAACACAGAAATTGCTTTGTTCTGGGTGCCATTTTGAGAAGGGGTTGGGGACAGACTGATTGCAGCCTAATAAGCATGGTACAATAGATAAATAGAGTTTTTTTTACGACATCCCGCCAACTACACACTGGTTGACCTTTAATTTATGCTTGCTCGGGCTAATCTATGTTACAGGGGTGTCACTCTGTATTGTCTCCGGTGCTATCACCAGCGATGACACGTGTACTATATTACACGATGTGACTGCTTTTAATGACCCCATATCTTGAACAGGCCCTAACCTCCCCCTCCCCCTTCCCCCACATCACAGTCCTGCCTATGTCATACGAGAGAATGCAGCGTACAACCTGTGGTTTCAGAATTGTTAACATTTTGTGGTGGGCCCTAAAAAGGGCCTTATGTGGTGCTGACCCGAGCCGTAAACTCTGACAGCTCAAGTAAAATAATGTCGTATTTCAAGTACAAGAACGCTATAATATACGCAACATCGCCAGCTGCTGCTCACAACAACCAGTAAAAATGCAACACGCTGGGCGCTGCTCACAACCAGTTAACACACAATGCAGAAAGCTTTGTGAAGAAGACAATATAACGTGAAACCCCCTGTAATGTAGACTAGACTGAGCAAGCATGAATGAAAGTAACCAGTGTGTAGTTTGGGCCAGACATCGTAAAAAGAACCAGCAATTAATTAGGGGTCTGCTGGAAACGTATGTATTGAGCCAAACAGCATAGATATCTCAGCCTCACTGTAACCTACAAGACAAAATGTCACTGCCCTTTCATTTGGGCAAATAGAGATGAAGAAACATACAAATCATGTCAGAACAGATACATTATCATTCAAGAGGTTTAGCCTACAAATCTGTGTTCCTTACCTTACCAAACAAAACTTCATCTACAAGATCAATAAGCCCTCCAACAGTCAGAACAGCATTTTCATTCGATTTCTGTGTACAAGAAAACCAAAATGTTCTTGTGGTATATTTCCAAATATTTAAAATGTTCACTCTGCTAATGTGAAAGCTGTTAACAATTTTGTTTGTTCCCTTTTCAAGAGGAGTATATACCTAGTTATATTTTCTTTTTTAGTCATGGGCTAGGGTACCCAAAGCTGGTATGCATCTTTGTAAGGTTTACTTTGTATAAATAGATTCCATTCAAGGTTACAAGATCTATATACCACTGGGTGTGTTATTTCTTTTAACATTTTGTCAGAGAAGTACAATTATAGAATAATTTTTGTGACTTCCGATTATCATGCAATTTTTCCTATAATGCATAGCTTGTACATGGGCAGCAATGTCTTTTGCCTTTACCCAAGACACCAGGTGGATGTTTTCATGAACATTCCTTGCTTTATGGTGGGATTCCATCCTAGCAATTTCTAAAGCTGAGATGAACAATTTAGTCTTGTGTGCCTTATCAAGTTTACCAGCAAAGAAACACACTTCTAAAAATGTACTCATCAACAAATTGTATTCTCAAAGCCTGATAGAGGTATCAAAATATGAATGTAAAGGGCTAGAGAATTTTCACAGCGCTAGAAAATTAAAACAAATATTTTTCTTAAAATGTTTCATTCTAACATGAAATCAGTACTGCTGAGTGGTGCAGAAATATTGAGAACTAAAACAATTACAAATAAACTACAAGTCTTCATTAACTGGTGCCTGTGCAGACAGTGGGAATTAATGGTATGACAGAGTCACTAATGTTAACTCTTTGAGTCCCACGGAATGCATCATACGTTCATAGGTTCCCACCTAGAAGCCCAATGACCGCATGATACGCCCATTTTATTACTTTCCTTACTACCCCCTGGGCCTGTGATGCTAAACCCCCTGGGACTCAAAGAGTTAGGCTTTAGGACAAAATTACACAAATGCCAGTGAATCAAGAGTTAAAGAAAAGATGCTGGCACTGGACAGAACACAACTGACTTTTGGCTGACTGCTTATGTTCTGAAAAGTATTTGTTTCTAGCTAGGTTTTACACATGCTAATTCCCCATTTCAAAGGTTCCTTTGCTCACCCACTAAGCTGAGTGCCTAGTGTGACACTGTGCGTATGGGTTTCATGCTGAATGTTTTTTTATTGTTGTGCACCCAGCATGATTTCAGCTGCACTAAAACATTTGTTGCCAATTACATTCAGAATGGAGTGTACTTTTGCCTGTGCAATGCCGGCTTTTGTGATTGACCGTTTGTTGTAATTATGGTCGGGACCGTTATTATGGCAGCTGCCTTATGCATTTATGATTCTGCTGGGTGCAACACATTTTTCACAGGTTTTCACATAGAGCCATGAAAGATATTTCATTTGATCTCCACTGGCACAGAAATGTCTGCAGTATTGCAACTCATGCATCATTTGGTTCATGAGTACAATTTCAAAGGAGATCTCTGGGGATCATCACTACTGAGTTTGTGCTTCATGTTAAGCTATCAGCAGGTGGCTAGTCATTCTGCAGAGAGAGACTGAGCCATTTACGATAAATTCCAGTGCAATGAAGTTGATCCTCTTGATGTCTTTTTTTTATGTCCAGCAAACTAAAAGTTTTAATGTAATAAAGAATATAACAGAAAATAAAGCTTAACACATGGTCTCTTCTGCAATTTATGGCTGTGAACTCCAATAGAAAGTCCTAGTTGTTTGTCCATTTCAGAACTTTGGCCTTGTTCCAGGACTTAAGTGTTGCATGCCCATCCATTTTACAGATGTGGTTGATTTGTGTGCAGACTGTTGATTCTTGTCTCTCAGGCATATGTCTTACTCCGAAGGAAATGTCAGTTCTTTCTACACAGGCCAGGTCCGCTGGCTGAAAACCTGTTTCTAGGATGACCGTGGAGAGGTGTAGACAAGTTCTAACCAGTAAAAACCTGGGTCCTTGTGCACTAGCACTTGTGTTGCAGCAGCACCACCACCTCCCATACATTTGATATCAAGGACAATTAATATTCCACTACCAAATTAACAGCTAAGGGCAGCTTTACCTCATGAAAGTAAATATAGTCATACTTCTGAGATACTGATTTCAGCTGTTCTTCGTTCATTGTCTCTGTGTCTTTGAGAAGTTCAATGTGCTTCTTTGTGTGGCAGGATAATAACTCTGCTTCTGTAGCCTTGCGAAGCTGAAAGTGTAGCATTTTTAAATGTATTTTCAAAAGGTCCCAAATTGGGCACGCAGGCCCATCTTACATCAGTCCTTCCAAAACACTCCCCATTCATACTGCAACCGTATTTTATCTTTAAAGCATTTATGCTCATTTAGCAATAAACATTTTATGAGTATCAAGTAAAATACATCAGAACATAGATCATGTATAAAGTAATTTAACAGCTCATAATGCAGTTTCCTGTGTGGGTTCTGGAGCCCACTGGGGGTGGGGGGAATTTACCCATTGCTCCCAAAAAGCATGTCATACAAGACATAATTGGGGCTTTGATAAATTTGATATACTGGATAAAAAGGTGCAGCTGTCACAGTATAGCTGTAAACTACAAAACAATGTGCCAACAATCCCTTTATGGGTGAAGAGAGAAGATAAAGATGCATGTAATAAATGAAGGAGATACAAACTAATCATGCTTCTTTAGCTGTTGTCTTAGAAACCTCACAATTAATGTCATTAGACATACAACATTTAATACAATTTTTAACTATTTACTGTTAAATTATTGCCTGTTTTTTTTGTTAAAGTTTGATTCGATTTCATTTTTGAAAAACCATGTTAAACTGCTTCCTAGAAAGCAACCGCTTTCTAAGACACTTTGGTTATAATTATTGTGCAGGAAAGCTCTAGGTCAAGGCCGCTATACCTGGCGCCACAACAAGGTGCTAAAGGAGTTAGCAGCCGTTGTCGACCAGGCTAGAATGAGGGCTAATGCCAGAGCCAGTTCTAGTATCGTCCCCATTCGTTTCCTCAAGGCTGGGCAGGTTCCAAAAGGTAAGGTCAACCAAAACGCATTCGCTCCATCTGTGCTAGACTCTGCGAGGGACTGGTTACTGGCGGTTGATCTGCCAGGACATGAACGGTATCCCGAGTTGATCCGTAAAACCGGCCTGCGACCGGACATCGTTCTCCATTCTGCGCAAAAAACGGCAGCTCATCCTGATTGAGTTGACGGTCCCGTTTGAGTCGCGTATGGAGGAGAATCACTTGTACAAGCTCGAAAAGTACAGTGATTTAGCAGCCGGTTTGAGGAGAAACGAGGCTTACACGGTACGGGTATTTGCCGTCGAAGTGGGAGCGAGAGGCCTCGTTTCCACTTCGCTCTACAATGTGGTGAAAGAACTAGGATTGCGCGGTAATGAACGGAAACGAACACTTAAAAAACTGGGAGAGGCAGCCGAAAGGGCCTCTAGCTGGCTTTGGACGCAGTGCAACAATGTAGGGGACAGGCCTCGGTGAGCTGGTCCGGGTGTCTAGCGGAAAGGAGTTTCTCATCCCTTTGAAAGTCCATCGTGTACGAATTGTCTGCCAGTGTCCCTCTGCCAACTGCTAAAAAAAAGTCCAACATGTGTCCGGTAAACCAAAGTAAGCTTGTCGCTCGGTCGTCCAGGCATGCGGACTGTTTTAATTACGCTGTCGCGGCGGCTTCTTATCTCACAGTACCTCCTTCGAAACCACTAAGTCGTCTTGTCTCTGGCCGAAATAATAACACCATCCGGTAATTCTGTGCAGCGGGGAAGCAGCCCTGAGCTTCATGAACTCAGGTGGGCCCACCTCCGAATACGTTTAGGAATCGTGGGCCGAAACGTGTGTCGACGAGGATAATTTCTACTGATGACTGTAGATCCCCGCTGTACTTGCTCCCTGTGAGTTTATTCTTACTTATTGTACTAAATCAAATCTTGCTGTTATTTCACTGAGTGATTCTTTTGGTACTGGCTGTTCTTGTCTGTTTGCCTCATACGTCTGTCTGGTATTATGTTTGCCAGGTCTCTTTCATCTCCAGATGCTGGCTGGATTGAAGTCATGCTGGTTATGAATGGTCAGTCTAGGTCTCATTATGCTGTTGACAGGGCCACCGCATCTGGCTCAGCTGTTTCCTGCAATAGCTGTTGCGCTGCGACGGCAGTATAAAATGTCTTTTACTGTTCTATCATAGCACTTTTTAGCGTGGTGTAGGTCAGACAGGGAAAGGATACACACTGATAAAACCGAAGAACAATATAACTAGAATGTCTTTGCACTGGAACCCACAGGGGAATAAGCATAAAGGAAAACCAAAAACCACATGGAAAAGGGAGCTAGATAGTGAAGTTAAAAAAAGATGAGGAGGGCATGGGGAGAGTTGTATGAGATAGCAAAGAATAGAACGACTTGGTGTGAGTTAGTTGAGGGTCTATGTTCCACTGGGGGTTAGAAAGGCAGAAAAAGGTCAGAGAGGGATGTGCACATCTGTGGCTTAGGGGTTGTGAGTGCAATCTAATAATCTTGACATACCAGCTACTGAAGTCAGCTGCAGGTGGTCGGATGGCAGACCACTTTGTGCTGATATTGACAACAGTACTGAGCTGAGATAACAACTGATATCACAGCACTTGAGAAAATTTCCATAAGTGCTCTGTCCTCATCTTCAACAGCCAGCAAAGAATTCCAATTTGCTGGTGCCTGTATCAGTTGGATATACACCCATCCTGCCTTTCTTCTGTGTTTAGAGTGTCAAACAAATTCCTTGGTCACTCCTAGCTATACCATTCTCTCCAGACAATAGTTATCTGTTTGTATTGTTCACCTGTTCCTAAGGCCCTGACCATATCTAGCTTGTCATGCCTCAATTCACCACCTAGTGATGCAGAACCAGCTAATCTGTCTGTTTAGTAATTTCCTAACACACATGCATACTCCAAAGAAAAGATCCAAAGGATGCCAACTACCTGGAACCTTTGAAGCTATGCTTGCCATTCTGCATGGATGATGCCTGTCTCCATATTTCTCAGTATGCTTTATGAGTCATTTACAATCCTGATATGTGTATGTCGATATGTTATCAAGCCAGTGGAAAGACTCCTCCACCTCTATTCTTGAACCAGATGATGTATGGCTCTCTTAGCCATGTGTTTTTTGGCCTTCCTTTATTCCTATGCCCCTGTGGGTTCCACGTGTATATCTAATTAACAAAATAACCAATGTTGAATATTTAAAAATTTTTGAAACTTACCGGAATCCGCTTGCACCTCTGAAGTAAGCCTAACTCACTGCATCTTTCAATACTTCTTAAAAGACGTTGAGGTCTCTCTGTGAAGTCTTTGTTCCAAGCATTGAAATGAGAAGCGAGTCTTTCATTGAACACAACGCCAGTCCTCCTTAAAAAAACATATACACATAAGAGTTTGTTTTGGTTTTTAAAAAAAGATGTTCATAAATCATAAGTGCTAATAATATGCAGTAACCTATCATAAAATTATAACAATTTGTTTAAAAAAAAAAAAACAATGAAACATAGGACCAGTTTGCATGCCTTCAGAAATTGTCAGAAATTGCTTTCCTTAGTTTTCTGTTAGAAAGGCAAGAGGTAGACAGTGAACCAGTTGGGAGGACATCATAAACATATGGATGAACAGCAGTCTGAATAATAGTGTAACTACTAAGACAAGAGAAAGAGCATATTGAAGATCCACTGTGGCCAATCTTCAATGTGGAGACGGCACCTGATTGATTATTTGATTGATGGCTTCATTAAGTTGTTAATAGCTGCAGCCTGCTTGTAGTAGTAGTATTCCTGAAAATTATATCTTGTTCAACCATCAAAGTGAAGCTGAGAAGGAATATATAGTCTCTATTGCTTTTTCAATGTATACTTTTGCTATTTTATATCCCTGAAGAAAAAACCTAATCCAAAAATAAGTGCTGTCATGACTCAGGGTGCTCAGAATATGAGCTCTACTCCAAACCTCTCATGAAGATTATCAGCGATGGATGGATTTAGTACAACAATGAATCACAGGATAGACATGTTGCATTCTAAAATTGTGAATGTATAAAAGATCTCCTGAAAACAACTTCTAAAGTATCTTCTGCAGCAAAAATTAATATAAGGCCAGGTCTCATGTAGTAGTAGTAGTGGTGGTGGTGTTGTAGTAGTGGAGTTGGTAGCTGTAGTGGTGGTGGTGGTGGTGGTAGTGGTGATAGTAGTGGTGGCTGTGGCTGTAGTGGTGGTGGTGGCTGTATTGGTGGTGTTGGTAGTGGTGGTGGTGGTAGTGGTGATTGATAGTGGTGGTGGCAGTGGTGATAGTGGTGGTGGTGGTAGTGGTGATAGTGGTGGTGGCAGTGGTGGTGGTGGTTGTGGTGATAGTAGTGGTGGTTGTGGCTGTAGTGGTGGTGGTGGCAGTGGTGGTAGTGGTGGTAGCAGTGGTGGTAGTGGTGATAGTAGTGGTGGTTGTGGCTGTAGTAGTGGTGTTGGTAGTGGTGATAGTGGTGGTGGTGGTAGTGGTGATAGTGGCAGTGGTGATAGTGGTGGTGGTGGTAGTGGTGATAGTGGCAGTGGTGGTGGTGGTGATAGTGGCGATAGTGGTGGTGGTGGCAGTAATGGTGGTGGTGGTAGCAGTAGTGGTGGTTTTAGTAATTAATCAAGGATGTCCAGTTCAACCCTTCTGGGGTTATTATTTTATTTGGGATATAGCAAAGTGTGTCTGTTTATCATGGCATGCTTTGAAACACTGTCCTGTAACAGTGCAGTGTTCATAACATTCTGGGTTACCGGTTAGGTTGTTTTAGGACGGATGTAAAGATTAATTTAATAATATCGTCTGCGACTAGTTTTGTTGCAAAGAATAATTTCTTTCATCCAATTTATCATCGCGAAAACAAAAAAAATTCACACTTATGTACGCTACGTGACAACAGTCATTCACCAATTTTGTCCTTACTGAAGTGAAAGTTACTGCAACAGGGACAACTTTATACAGTCGTAACCATCAATCAATCAATTCAGTGCACATTTAGACAATATATCTACAAAATGTGATTACCATTCTTTCTCAGAAGCAGCCATCGCTAATCTTCATGGATAAATAGTCCTTTAACTAATCACATATTTCTCTCGAAGACAGTTAAGGAAAGATTATGCAACATGTGTTGTCTGCAACCTGCAAGATCTTCTTCTCTGTTATTGCCCGTTCTGCAACACTGCCAACACCGTGTCTAACCCGGAATATAACCGTTATGTCTGTTGTTTTCGTATATATTTTATATCACTATCTTTAGAAAATAATGCTTGATTATATATAATAACGCGTTTTACAATTCACGGCTACAATATATCATAAAGACAACATTTACAGGTACCAAATCTTGGAGATAGTATAAGCGCGTAAGGTTTCAAATAACGAGACGATCACTCTCTCAGACACTGAGAGAAGCCAGACCTGGGCACGGGAGAAACACACAACACGACCTTTGGCCTAAATGTTATAACAGACACCAGCAGAAGTAGGGTGTTTGATAGCATGTGATGGAGTAGAAAGACGTTTACTACATTACGGGCAATATAACAATGTTTGAGCTGCATAGTTCCCTTGATCTCTTGGTGTCCGTGTCACAGTTTATATACAACTATAGGCAGACAGTGGGCATAACGGGTATCTATGTTTTCATTATAATTTAACTGCCTTCCGTTTCTAATTAATATTTTATGTATGCAGGCTGCAGCATACTTAACTAAACTTATAATTAACATCTTATCATTATGTTCATTTACATAGGTATATCAGGAGTAACAAATATGGATTTGAATTTAATGAAGTCACACTTCTAGAAGAACAGAACTATAATCCAGACTATCAGAAAGTACAGAATCAATCCATCATTGACTACCCTCTTTTAAATGAGAATACTTAATCAGTTTACCCCTAACCCTTCTGGACAACAAGTTATTTTTTTAAATGGCAGTAAGGTGCTTAAATAAATCTGTTTCGTATGGTTGAGCAGGACATCTGGGATTTGTTCCTATTTGATAACTTTAATAGTGTCTTTATGAGCCCCTGGATGTCAAATCTTCAGGTTGTGATGTCACAGGGGAAATAAAATGCAATTTGAATGATAGTAGCAGATCCTGCTACCTCATTTAAGGGTATGACCAGTCCACAGACTCAGGACTTAATTCCAAGCTATGTGGAACTCAAGAACTTATACAAATGGTCATATTTTCTCGATATCGTAATTTTTAAAAAAATTTACAAAAGAAGAAAAAAATTCCTAATTGTTCTTAAAGCGGTTCTTTTCTGTTAAGTCACCGCATGATGTGAGATTTTTAGAAATCACATAGTATGGGGGTGGGGGGTTTAAGGGTTAGTAGTAGTCACTATTCATTTAATACTAGCCCTAACCCTAACAATCCCCCCTCTCCATGCTATGGGATTTCCCTAAATCTCACGTTATATGGTCACTTAACAGAAAAAAAAAAACTTAGAGCTACTTCTGGCATCAGTTATCATCAGTTTACAGTGGAGAAGGTGGAAAAGCTACATACAAATCTTAGACAATTTCAGTTTTCTCCTTCTTGTGACAGAACTGATTACAGCCATGAATACTACAAGCAACAACAAAAAATAGAAGAAAAAAAAACACAAGGAGAGAAATAAGGAGGTATAGTTATTGATTCAGAACAAGAAAGTCACTACAGAAAATAATACAACCTTGGGGACATTGACCCAAAAGTCAACAGTACAAAGACATAGGTGCCGAAATAAAGCTAGGTAGACAATAAACCAATAAATTACAGAAAAAAATAAGTTAAAAGCACAGAGCAATGGCCTAGAAAGACTGAAACAAAGATGATGGTAGGATGGGCTCTAAAGGATATTGAACTAAGAACGATAGTTAGGAATTTGCATAACTAATAAAGCTATGGGAAAAAAAACCACAGACTGAAACTACTAGAGCAGCTGACACCTATGGAAATATGACAAGTTAAAGAGAGAATGGCCTAGCCTAGAGATATTATGAGGGTATTGATCTAAAAACAAGGCTTACAAGGAACAAATTACATTTGTGACAGTGTCCTGGGTGAGACACAAGGACTGGTTTGCATATATTAGAGAGATGTTAAACTCTGAGTCAACAAGAAGAATTCGGACAAATGGCCACGGCTGAGAGTTACTTAAGGAAAATATAAATGCAAAAGAAATAACAGAGGTAGATATTCGCTCATACAGTTGACAGGTTTATACCGTAAGGTTGACTAAGATAGTGACCACAAAATTCTGCACTGAAAAGTTACAGGCACATATGCCAAAGTACAACTTTGAAAATGAGAGTAAATTATCCAAGATCGTGAAGTATCATAGTTATCCCTGGTAGAAAGTATGGGGTATTTAGCAAAGAGATGGGTAGAGAAGGTCATGTCAGGATGATGATAATGATTGTGATGATAAAAATAGTGATGACGAAGACAGCAATGTTTTAGCTAGTATGGCTTGTGCCTAGTGTAACTGAAGACATATTTAAATATCTGAGAAGTGTGAATTATAGTTAAATGATGCCATGTATTAGTAAGTTCAAAATAAATACAGTTTGTAACAGCTCACAAATGAATACGCTGCTTGAAGCCAACTCTGTTCTGGTTAAGTCAACGCCATAAGAAACCAAACACACATGAAATAATAGTCTCTACCTGTCTGGAAAGAGGGTCAGTAGGTGAAAGAGGGGCTGAAATAGTTTAAATTAAATAATCCATTTTCCATACCTTAGTGGTAAATATAGGGCTAGAAATACATTTTATAGACCAATCGGCACTTGAGGGATGAAGTGGTCAGCATCCCACCGCTGCCTGTACTTCCCGAGAACTTACCAATTTAAAGGCTGTGTTGGAACTAGGTGTCAAGAATTAGCCTAAAACTATTATGTAATTAAGGCCATGGTAAAGGTTGAAAGGGAAAGATGGACGCCTTTTGTCTAAACAATCCTTGTACCAATCAATGCTCGCAGCAATGAGACAGGGAACTATATCCTTGAATAAGCAGTCAGTTACAGGGGTTTAGGCTATAACCTGCTTGTATTTGATTAAATAATGTATAATAATAATCATTATTATCATCATCATTAACCACTTTTGTCGTTAAGCGTCATGGGGCGAAATAATTTGCGATCCAGTGCACGTTGGCTGCCACTGGCTATTGTCATGTCATGAAGGCGTAGAGAGTCTTTAATGTTATCGATCCATGTTTCCGCGGCTGTCCTCTTGCTCTTGTAGTTGATCTTCTAAGATATAGTGCTTGTGATGGTATTTGATCTTGCTGCATTCTAACGAGATGGCCAACCACTTGATCTGCTGTTTCTCGATGAATCTAGTATAAGTTCCCACAAT